CTACAACAGGAGGGAGAGTAGACAGTAAAGAAAGGAAATGAGGAAGAGAGGAGACAGACAAGTGGGTGAAGATTTACATGTGTGTCTCTTCAGATGAATCTGTCTGGATGTGATAAAACTGTGATGAAGAATTCAATCAGCGGCTCCAGGTTTGTGGTGAGTTCACAAAAAACACACAACGAACACCTCAGAGAGGGAGGAAGAGGAGGATGAGTTGCAGGAGGAGAGGAGAGGGTGAGGTGAATGAGATGAGAGAATGGGAGGAGGAGGTGAAGGAGGAGAGGAGAGGTGGAGTTGGAGGAGGTGCAGGAGGACAAGAGAGGAGGAGGCAGAGAAGGAGAGAAAGAGATGCTGGAGGAGAAGAGGGGAGGAGGCAGAGAGGGAGAGGAGGAGGAGGAGGAGGAGAGGAGTCAGGGCTGATGTTGACTTGTCTCAAACTTCCTGAAGTGATCAAAACATGTTGTTTATAGAATCTGAGCAGTAACGACCTGCAGAAGTTTCCTAAACTACACGCTCCGTAAGTACTGACTCACCCGACCTGACAAGTGTGTTTGACGAGTGTTTGACACAAGGGTGAGATGTGTGACGACTGTGTGTGTCTCCTCAGGATGATCTCAAAGATCAGCACTGAAATCAGCAGGAAGGAGGAGAGACGAGGTTTATTCTCCAGAAAGTATGTTGACTCTTCACAGATCTGAAGCTGCTGTTGCTCCACCTCCTGATGACTCGTCTGTTTTTGTCTTTGTCACAGAACGACGCCCAAATACCAGGAACCAGGTGAGAACTCCTCGTCCAGAACATCGTGGTCACACCAGGAACCCTTGTGCAGAATAGCAGCTTGGCTTTCGTAGATATACGTAGCCTAGCTTAGTTGCTAGCCTGACATGACAACTTTTACTACACGTGAAGCAGCCGACCAATCACAACCGAGTGGACCAGCTGACCAATCAGAACATGCTTTATCAGGATGGGCCTTAAAGCAACAGGAGCTAAACCAACTAGTTTCTGGTTTTATTCATCTTCTAAATTTTCTGTGTCCGTGCTGACGACACCTAGTGACCTGACGCACCGTGATTTCAAGAACGCCTTGAGCTATTTTGTGCAAATTTAGTTAAAGAGGTCGAGGTGACCTTTCAAAACTCAAACCTTTTACACATTATCTTAAAAACACCTCAAGAGAATTTTTTCACATTTGACACAAACGGTCACTTAGCCTCACAGATGAACTGATTAGATTTTACTTGGATATGTGACCTCTAACTTAGTGCATTATTAAAAATATTAAGGTTGGCCCGTCACAATAACACATTTTGTTGGACAATATATTGTCCCAGAAATAATTGCGATGAATGATATCCATCATTTTTTTTACTATTTTATAAAACCTGACATAACAATGACATTAGAGCATAATCCTGCAAGTTCTTAAGAATATTCAGTCTGACATCTGAATTAAATTTCAGAAAATTATAATATCCTAAATAAAATAAACGACAAAACTCTCAAATTAAACATTTGACGTGGTTTATTTAACCAGCTCAGTAAACAGGATGGTTATGATTGACATGAGCTTTTAGCTATGTATTGTATTAGGCGTGTGTGTGTGTGTCTCATAAACTAATTCTAATAATTTGCAAATAGTGTTGTGATAAGTGATGTGTTTGTGAGGGGGCAGGGCCTGGAGATGACAGCACAGCTAAACGCAGAAGCATCAGTGTGACCGAGGACATCTTCATTACACTTCAGAGATTTAAAGTCTTTAAAAGTCTTTAAAGTCTCGACTCCAGTGAAAATATGTAAATGTAAATATGTAAATTTATTCGCAGAGACCACTGCTGACGCTCAGGGCTGGGGTGAAGACGAGTTTGTGAGTCTGTCATTATCAAAAATTGTTAGAAAATAAATTCACTAACATTTAAAAATGATTTATACGTTGTATGATGTGTATGTGGTCAACTGTGTGAACCTGATTTGATTGTTTTTCTTCTCCTTCAGGATGATGAAGATTTCGACGATGACTACGAGAGTCCAAACAGTGGCAACGAGGACGGGAGCAGTGAAGACTATGAGTCCCCAAATGATGACCCTGATGGAGCCAATGATTACGAGCCTCCTCCCTCCGAACCACCAGAGGACCTGGCTCACAAGCTGTGCCCCACCCTGCCCATCGGAGACGGCGATTACATTGGTAACCACATTTAGAAAAGATAGGATACCTCAGTGTGATTGACAGCTGGCTACTTCTGGTTTCAAAAAACTAAGCTGCACAAAATCAAAGTGGGCTTCAGAACAGCAGCTCACAAACCATGTGACGTCACAGTGTGTGTGTGTGTGTGTGTGTGTGTGTGTGCGTTTAGATAAAAGGGATAACCGCATGTCGTCAAAAGGCCCGCCCCCTGCAGTATGTGCCCGCCCCCCGGTCTCGATGCTTGCTCCTCCGTCTCCTCGCGCGGTGAGTCTGACTCAGATTCACTTTAACTCTCAGCTCTGATGTTTAAATGTTTCATGTTTGACGTGGTTTGTGTTTGTAGCCGGGAGAGTCATCCTCTAGAAGAGACCTCTCCCCCCACTGTGGAGGACGACCATCAGGAAAATGTGAGCAACCTGCACCCCCAATGACAGAAAGTCACTTTACTTTCATGCTACGTTTGTTTGTTTTCATTAACGAATGAATCGTAATAGTAGTCTTCAATTAAACAAGATGAGTGGATGATTTATGATCTGATCTGTGCTCTGTTGGTTTTGAACTCTACGTTTTGGTCATGTGACTGTGACAGAGCTAATCATTGGTCGATTAAAGCTGATGATTTGTTGTGTTCAGTTCCACCGGGGCCTCCGCAGATCTTTCGTGGCACCAAACCGGGAAGAGAGTCAAGAAGCAACTCGTCCCCCATCCGAGGTAAAACAGAACCCAAGATCATATACATATTTAATGTTTTCATCAAATGTAAAAAAC